TTTTTCTACAAATGCACTTTATGTATTAGTATTTTATTACCAAAGCCCATGAAGAGGTTTTTAGAGATAACTGGGGGTTTTCATACCGTTGAAAAAATATCACATATAACTCAGGATCGATGTCAAACACAAGAGGGAAAAAGTATCCTAAAATATCAAACAAAAAGTAATTTGTGATCCAAAAACATAAATGGATAAATACGAATTGCACAGTACCCAATGGTAAGTGTAAGACAATTGTTTAAAGAAACAATACCTTATTTATTTTGCAATAACCCCATGCTTCATAAAGAGCCTAGCCGGAGCTCAAAGATATAATAAGTTCAATAGAAATAACTATATGTACATACAAATAAATGCTATTTCATTACCCTGCAATAAGCCCAATTTCTGCATTGAGTCAGGGTCTCTGTCCTGCCCCTGGGCTTATTGCGGGGTAAGTACGGTAACTCATAGACCATAACAACTAACGATGTATCTATATACGTATCAGTGATTTCTGCAGCATGTGCATTATACATCTATCAACACTAGGTTTATGAATTATGGATGTCAATTAGAACAGGTTTTTATAAGTCACTTTGTAATCAAAGCATCGTGTATGGATTTCAAAAGCAAAGGTACAGTTTCTATTGCTCTACCACTCTGTTCTACCATTTTCAACACCCGGACGATAACATAATAGCAAGGAAAACAATGACCAATCAGAGCGTGGTATTGCTAATTCATATCTTGTGAATCCTAACTTATTTTAGTATTTTCATATGGTAGCTAGGAGCTTAGAAAACTTTGTTAAAATGGTATTAATATTTAAGCATGCAAAAATGTGGAAAAGAAAAACAAATACTGACAAGATTTTAAAGTAATCACTTTCAGAACTCACAATCTCCAAATGTTTGACCCAAATACATTCACAGCACTTATTTATCAGAAAGAAAACTTAGCAATATTTTGAGAGTTAATTTAACTTGAGGTAAATAGTGGGTGTTTGTTAGGCTGCATGTCTTCGGTAACACATCCTCAGTAACTCATCCTGCAACAAACCAAGGTGGCCTGGACACAAAATCTCTTACTCAAAGTAGTTTGGCATTTTACTGAAATGCATTATTTATAGGTGGGCTTATTAACAGGCATGGGCTTAAAGCCGGATAAATACAGTAACATGTGTTTGTTATGTTGTTTATAGTAACACATCCTCAGTGACTTAGTGCAGTGTTAACTTCATCATTGATCCAATACCATCAGTAATGGTTACATGACAGTCGACGCTCTTAACAATCTCTAATTAAAACTTACTGCCGAGGCTTGGGCGACAACTACTAATTTCAGAACAACTTTATGGAGAAAACAAAAGTCACAATTTCTATGCTAAAGGTAGTTTTATCTTTCCAGTAAACGCTCATCTTCAGTACATAAACATCTTACAAAAACATTTGACGCTGAGAAACTGTAACTATCATCTTGTTCCTTGTGAAACCGCCATGATGTCGCCCTGATCTGTATTCCAAGCATCCCCGAGGGAAATTGATATCTGTATCCATGCAAAGTTTTTAACGAACAGTACAGACATTACAGTGCATGTAACACTCTCTCTCACAAGCTTGTAATGAGGTCAGGTGGTGCTCTGTCGTACCGTTCCGCTGGTAATTCGCCGTAAATTAAATCACTTCTAAATATATTACGATTTCAGCATCGACATCACAATGCTCTGGCTTGTGTGTCGCCAAAAGCAAACAGCGCTTAATCAGCATCAACTCATGTTGATGTTAGGTGTAAACAGCGAGTCGTTTCATTAAAATAAATTCAAATCACATTAAAAAGAAATGGAATCTGACAAATTTGTTACAATGCAAATGAGATGTTTGAAAAGCGGGAATCTAATTTTATTAAAACCTGACAGCCGCTTTAATTGCCCTCACTATTATTCCTTTGACCTTGATCCACTCTTTTGACCTCTAAATAAATCTAGTTTAATTAAAATTGAATAGCTACCTTTTTGGCCCTATTTCTTCCTTTGACCTTGACACACTCTAGCGACCTCTGAATAATTTCATATTTTAGCCTACTTTTGTTCAAAGACCTTTTAAGCGTATATATAATATGCATATTGTTGGGACACTGAAGTATATATTTATGTATATAATTATACAGCAAGCAAGCAACCTTGTATCCCATTATATTATAATATAACTTTGTCTGTCAACTCATGGTGGAGTTGCTTGAAAAAGTACATCTTTATCAAAAGCCGAAAAATGTGAACGTAGCAAGTGACACTGTTCATGCAGTCACATCCTTAGAATGTTTCTGATTGTAGGCCACAATGGCTCGGAAAGTTAAGGCTATATCCTTCTTGGCAGTAACATGGTCTCCTTTACAAAGGAGTTTCAAAATAATGAAGAAGCATATAACACAGATTGGATAAATGTAAGGTCCATAAGATAAAATGTCAGGTCCATAAGATAAATGCAAGGTCCATAAGATAAAATGTAAGGTCCATAAGATAAAATGTAAGGTCCATAAGATAAAATGTAAGGTCCATAAGATAAAATGTTAGGTCCATAAGATAAAATGTAAGGTCCATAAGATAAAATGTCAGGTCCATAAGATAAAATGTAAGGTCCATAAGATAAAATGTCAGGTCCATAAGATAAATGTAAGGTCCATAGGATAAAATGTAAGGTCCATAAGATAAAATGTCAGGTCCATAAGATAAAATGTAAGGTCCATAAGATAAAATGTCAGGTCCATAAGATAAAATGTAAGGTCCATAAGATAAATGTAAGGTTCATAAGATAAAATGTAAGGTCCATAAGATAAAATGTAAGGTCCATAAGATAAATGTAAGGTCCATAAGATAAAATGTAAGGTCCATAAGATAAATGTAAGGTCCATAAGATAAATGTAAGGTCCATAAGATAAAATGTTAGGTCCATAAGATAAATGTAAGGACCATAAGATAAATGTAAGGTCCATAAGATAAATGTAAGGTCCATAAAATAAGATGAAATCCTTAAACATTTATTTTGTACATAATCAGTAACAGTAATGTTGCTGCAATAAATTTTGAAGTTTGGAAGAGATTTGCTGTGTTGTTCGCACTTATAATATTCCTGGATTTTTACTCACTACCAGTGTGAACTCTGTATACCGTTGTGGTATCCACTGAACTATATAGCTACCAGTGTGAACTCTGTATACCGTTGTGGTATCCATGGTACTATATAGCTACCAGTGTGAACTCTGTATACCATTGTGGTATCCACGGTACTATACAGCTACCAGTGTGAACTCTGTATACCGTTGTGGTACCCATGGTACTATATAGCTACCAGTGTGAACTCTGTATAGCGTTGTGGTATCCACTGTGCTATATAGCTACCAGTGTGAACTCTGTATACCCTTGTGGTATCCACAGTACTATATAGCTACCAGTGTGAACTATGTATACCATTGTGGTATCCACAGTACTATATAGCTACCAGTGTGACCTCTGTATACCGTTGTGGTATCCCCGGTACTATACAGCTACCAGTGTGAACTGTGTATACCGTTGTGGAATCCACGGTACTATATAGCTACCAGCGTGAACTCTGTATACCGTTGTGGGACCCATGGTACTATATAGCTACCAGTGTGAGCTCTGTATACCGTTGTGGTATCCCCAGTGCTATATAGCTACCAGTGTGAACTCTGCATAGCGTTGTGGTATCCACTGTGCTACACAGCTACCAGTGTGAACTCTGTATGCCATTGTGGTATCCACAGTACTATATAGCTACCAGTGTGAACGGTGTATACCGTTGTGGTATCCTCGGTACTATATAGCTACCAGTGTCAACTCTGTATACCGTTGTGGTATTCCCCAGTGTGAACTCTGTATAGCGTGGTGGTATCCACTGTGCTATATAGCTACCAGTGTGAGCTCTGTATACCGTTGTGGTATCCCCGGTACTATATAGCTACCAGTGTGACCTCTGTATACCGTTGTGGTATCCCCGGTACTATATAGCTACCAGTGTCAACTCTGTATACCGTTGTGGTATTCCCCAGTGTGAACTCTGTATAGCGTCGTGGTATCCACTGTGCTATATAGCTACCAGTGTGAACTCTTTATACCATTGTGGTATCCACAGTACTATATAGCTACCAGTGTGAGCTCTGTATACCGTTGTGGTATCCCCAGTGCTATATAGCTACCAGTGTGAGCTCTGTATACCGTTGTGGTATCCCCGGTACTATATAGCTACCAGTGTGAACTCTGTATACCATTGTGGTATCCACAGTACTATATAGCTACAAGTGTGAACTGTGTATACCGTTGTGGTATCCACGGTACTATATAGCTACCAGTGTGAACTCTGTATACCGTTGTGGTATCCACTATACTATCGACCAAGAAATTGAAGAAACTTCAGTTATCTAGGATGTGTTGTCTCCACCCCCTTCTTGTGATAAATAGCTGATAATAACTGAAAACTTATTTTACAAGCCTAGAAAAACGTCTGTTTCCTTTGTCAAACAAAGTCAGTCAAGTCAGCTGTCAGAACATATTGTGACATTACGTCTGAATAGCACTCTAGTAGGAGGTACAGGCAGTCAGAGGGACAGAGGTAAAGTTATTACCAACCCCATTGTAAAATATAAGTCATTGTTTGTGTTCAAAACAGACTTAGCATTTACTGCAGAATGTATTTTACCAGGATTACAAAGGAAAGATAACTCTAACACAAAATATAAAAAGATATAATGTTTAAGGTATAGCAAATGTATTATTAATTGTCAATTGTCATTGGTAGTCCTTAGCCCTTTCAAGACTGTGAACCACAATAGACTCATCCAGATAAATATATGGTAGATTCTAATGAAGTTACATGGGGGTGAAAGAGTTAGGCTAAAAATATCTAGTGAAGTCAGAGCATCTCAGATATTGTATGTTCCCATTCTAGTAGTTCTGTTTAAGCATTTATAATGGTTGCTATGGTGACTCGTTGCAGGCTTACCTGTTGTACTGAAGTTTTGAGTTAAGGAATCTTCAACTAAAAATAATAAAATTGGAAAGGACATGCAAATGCAGGCAAAACACAAAACAAACAGAAAGTAACAGTGAAAATAAAATGAATCCAGCTAGCTAGGCCTATAAAGCAAGAGGCACATTGGGCCTGTGTTCTTGTAAAAAATAACCGATATATTTAAAATGTGTTTTTATACAGTTGAACTTCCAAAATGTTGTTAGCAAATATATATGATCTTCATAATAGCAGTCTTAGATTTAACTGATTCCAAGGACTAAACAAATTAAAAATATTTCTCTTCGGACAGTTATGTTACCGAGGTATATTAACATCATGCTTATCTCCCTTTATTTTAATTTAAGGGCCCTACATGAAAACACCATCTTACCCCAAATTGATACTTTTTAATATCACTAGACTATAATCGCTCTCAAAGGATTTTTTTTGATGTACGTAACAATTTTCAAAAACCTGTCTGATTCTTGCAGTAAGATCATGCTTACCTCCCTTAGCTTCAGCACCAGAGTTGTGGTCTAAAACAAAACATTCACACAAAAAATAAGGAAAACAAAACGAAAATGAGGTATTGGAAAACAATTAACAGAAAAAGAAAACATGCAAAATGCAGAAGGAGAAAAACAATATTACAACATGAAACAGAAATGAACAAAACAAAATAAAAAGTGCAGGAAAACAATTATAAGAAAATATAAACATGCAAACTGGATATGGAATATGTAGTAAATTTGCCAAGACCTGTTTTTCCACTAAGACAATCTCTAGTGTAATTAGGTTTGATTGCTTGCATCCTATATAGAATGCAGCCCTTGTAGCTTTCAAGGTTTTATTTTTCAGCCAGAATATACCGGTATGCACTTGATATAGAGCATGCTATCTCCTAGCCTGATGATCGTGTAACAGGAGATAGAAATGCAACAGCCAGACCGGGGTTCAAACCCGGGACCCTCCGAATTCTAGATTGACGCTCTACCAATTGAGCTACCTGGTCTCCAACGATCGACCCAGTCTATAGTTCCGCTACAATAGTTATTCGTTAAAAATACTGCATTCGTTGTTCTACGATTTTCTTAAAGCAATTATTTGAGGAACCAGATTTAAAGAAGATATATTCGCATAAACTACATTATGATTGAAGAAAAATACTGCATTTGGCACTCTAAAATTTCATAAAACATTTCGTTGGGAAGGCAAAATTAAATAAAACTTTGCTTGTTGAGTCATATACTATTCACGAGGAAGCTAATATTGAAAAAGACAGTGCTCATGTAACTTAACAGTGATTTAAGTTAGGACCATTAACTACTACTGTGTAGCCTGAAATTCTTCTCAGAAAACTCATAGCCTGGTGATAGACTTTGTTTAATAATAAGACTAAGGTCACTATTGATACAAGTTTGTATCATGAACGAACGTGATCAGGTTTTGACTCCAACCCATTAAAGTGATTACTTCCATAAAAGGATTAGCCCTATTGCTTTTTCATTACAAACATATAACACAAGAACCAGGATCACTGGTGAATTGGTTTTCATTCTTGGATGAAGCGGTCTGGAATAATCCTGGATAATTAATGACTATATTGGGATAGAACATATTCCAGAAAAATTAAGCTACCTTTTCGGAAAAGTCCAAGCTTATTACAAATTACTGGTAATCCACCTTTGATCTGCTGTTAAAACAAGAGGCCCAGAGGGCCTGTATCGCTTACCTGTTTCTTTTGTTACATGAAACTGACAAATAGGTAACTTCAGACTAAATTTGGTAACTAGAACACAAGACATTTTAACATCTCTTAAGCTTCTTAAGATATTGTTGTTTGAAATTTGAAGCTTTTAACCCACGTTGACCTTTGACTCTGGCTAGCACTTAAAGTTGACATTTGACCTAATTACTGTAATAAAGAAAACGATTCACAGCTGGTCTACATAACATCCCCAAGTATCATGACTCTAGTCCAAATGGTTCTTAGGATATGGTTGTTTGAAGTGTTTAACATACTTGACCCCTGTGACCTTGAAAGTAGGTCAAGGCCACTTTAATGAGGAAACTTTATACAATTCCATCCCAGGTACCTAATGGCCATATATCCTGACCCTTGGCCTTATTGAACTAAATGAGAAGAAGATTGTTAAAGCTTTTAACCCATGTTGACCTATGACCCCTGACTAGCACTTTCAGTTGGTATTTGACCTCATTACTGTAATAAAGGAAACGATGCACACTGCTGGTCTACATAATATACTAAAGTATCATGACTCTAGTCCAAATGGTTCTTAGGATTATATATGGCTATTTGAAGTTTTTAACATATTTGACCCCTGTGACCTTGAAAGTAAGTCAAGTTCATTTTAATGAGGAAACTTTATAGCACTTTTCCCCTGGTACCTACTGGCTAAATATCATGGCTCTGGGCCTTATGGAACTTGAGGAGAAGATTAATTGTTAAAGCTTTTAACCCATGTTGACCTATGACCCCTGACTAGCACTTTCAGTTGACATTTGATCTCATTACTGTAATCAAGAAAAAGATTGGCACTGCTGGTGCCTTGGGGCCAGGTGAGCTAAACATTCTAGAAAGCAGAAAATCTTGTCATGATGCATGGACGAAATAAAAATCTTCCATGCTGAAAAATTTAGAAAATTCTTGATGAAATGAATTTTAAAATGTGTGTCAATCAGAGAAAACTTTGACTTACCTTCCGTTAAAAGGACAATAGCAGTGATAATGAGTGAACAGACAACGACGATGACAAGAAGAGCAATGGCTATCCCTCGCCAATTCTTCTGCTGCTGTGTATTGCCAACCAACTCCTGAAAAAAACATCACAACATGAGTGGTACAAATAAAAAAAAATACACAAGAAGCTTACAACAAATCTAGTACACTACATATACTCTCTTTGGAAAGTTTAAAGCCTTTTGGATACTGTAAAATAATCATACCGTATTTGAACAAGGTAAAGCCCTATCTCTTACCATAAAAGTGTTCCATATACTTTTTTACTGATTTGAGCATGCTATTCCTTCAGCGTCATTTATTGACCTACTTGAAAAAATATTTATTATTGCAAACATACTTATTTTAGCGCATTATCAAATATTTGCTGATTTAAGCACATCGATAAATTGGCGCACCCCAAAAATATGCAAAAGAGAACAATAATCATGAACTTCCATTGGTGTATTCATACTTTAGCATAATAATTAAAACACGAAAACCGCTAAAATGTGCACATTTATAGCATATAGCTTTATCAAGTAGTCCAGAAGGTTCTGAGATCATTCTAATTGTCCCAAGTTTCTACTGCACAGAACACTTATTAGGTCAAATACGGCATTGTCTTTCAAATTTTTCCAGCAATGATATATGACTATGAAATATGACTGAAAATCAGTAGAATCTTATCTTTAAGGTTGCTCAGGGGATGCCACTCTTTGTCATGAAGTGTTTTTAATAAGTTAGCTCATTTGTGTATATTAACCGGCATTCACACATTAAAATCCTTCACGCCATGAGTTTTAGCCAATCAAAAAATATTTAACATCTTTAACAAAAAAATCTGTGAGACTGTTAGGTTTCAAAAACTTGGACCCTCTTATATCTAGAGGAATGCTCTACCAACTAAGCCATATAACAGCTTGTTCACCTGTTTCATAGTTGGGGTCACCTGTATTGATTGATCTATCCATTTTATCAGTTTGTAAAACTATATCTTCTTTTAATGATAAATGCAATTGCCATGGTGATATGTTTATAAAAACAGCAACCTTTCTTTTAGGAAAACAATGTGTAAGACAAAAATAAAAGCAAAAAGTTTAAATAACCTGAACAATTATGTAATATCACTTTCGAAAGAATTCTTTTCTTCAAGGACTAATTGCTCTTTTAAAACCTGTATGCACAGGACTGTCTTTAACAACCTTCATCAGGATATGAAAATTACACACAATTTCTTGGAAATTTCATGCCATAAATACAACTTCATGTGAAAATTTCAAAGCTGTTAGTTGGACTCAAGACTCTTGCCATTATCATGCAGACCTGATGAAAATGGTTGCTATGACGTTAAGTCATCATCAACATTCCGCAGCAGCGACGATTTGGCAGGTGGAGTCGTCAGAGTAATGGCGTCTCCGAGGCTTTGCCTACAGACAATTCCCCATCTTATCTGTTAAGCATTTTATAATTGACACGTACAATTTTCTATTCGGAATTACTATAGTCCCTCCAGGACCATGAAATGACGCTTCAAAATCGTAAGCAATTGCCATGAAGAACGTAGCGTGTGTTACAATGAAAATGTTCAGCAATCCATTGAACTAAAACGGCCTTCATGCAAAAGATGCCTAATCACACCTTTGTAGTAGCTAGATTAAAATCAATCGGCTCAGACACAATACTGATTCTGTCTTAGACAGAACGTCAGGTAAAATTATTTTTTTCTGAATTTCTTACACGATTCAATAATAAATTGAATAAGGCCAAACAAATATAACATCTGTGTTTCCTGTTATGGTTTTGAAAGAAAAAGGGCATATTGGTTTAGCCTAAAAGCTAATATTTTTCTGTAAATATTTTTTTTTTATATTTTTCACTTATAGGTTGTTTTGGAAATGCTTGTTTAAAATTTATATAAAAACTTGCTGATGTCATGAATAAAATGTACCCACATATGAAAAAGTACCGGATAGCTTTTATACAGATGGAACAATTGATACAGTACACTGGGTATGCATCAAAACCTAGAGTTGGTAGGAACATTAAAGGTAAAGGGTGCCAACAACACTAGTTATAAATCGTGAAGAAGAGTTCCAATGAAGGTTAAAGGTACATGTATCAAATAACCTTAATCCCGTCAAAATTGAATAATTATACACAGTAGCTGGAAGTTCGCCATCTTGGAAACGTAAGTGTTTGTTGACTGCTGTATGTGTATTTGATCAAAGCTTCCTGGAGACTTGTTAGCTTAGCCAAACAAAATAGTAATGTTTCTATTGAAAATAGAAATAGACAAAATTTTGAATGCAACAGTGTAATATCATAGAGTGATCTTGTTGCTATTGATGATGCTGCAGAAAAGAATAATTGAACGTATTTGAAACATTAAAATTTGGTGTTTAAACTTGCAACTTTAAAGAGCTGATGAGGCTTCTAAGCAAGTCAATGTCAAGATATGCACAACAAATTTTAGAAAACCCAAATAGATGTTACCCTCATCTTTTTTATTAGGGGGTCAAGGTAATAGGTTGGGGTGGGGATGGNGTGATCAATTTCTATATCAGACGCTATGATAAAGATTCAAACCCCCTATTTGGGAATTGAGTTGTGTATACATACATTAAGACTTATAATAGATACCAATGGTTAATTTCTTCTGGAATAATTTTATTTTCTGTCAACACCTTTACTTAATCACCAGCAGAGTTTATTGAATTGATATTGACACATTTTTAAAATTCCTTTCTGCGTAATTACATTTGTAGGGGATTCTGCTGTGCTACACCATCAATCAATATCTGTCAAAAGCCATTGTTCTCTGCTCGTTACAATTGCACAATGATGTAACACGGTGTGCTTTTAATTGCCAATGTGCAAAACTAGCGTGATCCAAAATTCTGATCTGGATGTATATGAAGGCATGTGACCATGCTATAGGGCAAACTACAATGAAATTTGATCAAATAATTGAACAGTTTCTAGAATAATATTTATCTGTTTCTATGTATTTCACAAAATTGCTTCCAATGTATCGCAAATGAAAACACAACTTGATAAGAGAAACGTGTTCAAAGTTTCTTGAATCCAAAATAAATCCATAGCTCTGTATTACACCTGTGACGATGACTTATACTTTTTTAACAGACTTTACAGAAGGTCAAGGTCATAAGGTCATCAGCTGATGCTAACTACCCAGTTAATGGCATACAACTTTCTACAAGTGTATGTAAATTTACTCCAACATGTCAACAATTAACATTTAGCTTATAAAGTTGAAGGTCAAAAGCCATGTCCTTAAAAAAACTTGTTTTGAACACATTGGTTTGGATTCAATTATAAAACCGGAGATTATTTAGAGGGTAACAAAAGAGGAAGAATGCACTGCCAGACAGGGTTCAAACTCAGGACCCTCCAAACTCTAGACAGACGCTCTACCAATTGAGCTACCTGGTCGCCGACGATCGACCCAGTCCAGTTCTGCTGCAGTAGAAATATGAACACCATGGGCTAATAACGGGTAAATTACAGTACAACACACTATGGAACTCACTGAGAAGGTGGTCTCTGTGGAGCCACATTGGTCCGATAAAGGTAGGACCTCCATTTTTACGTTACATCCTGATGGGTCATAGACCAGAAATACTGTCTGTAATTAGTGAACAATGGCAACAGTTGTCTCTCCGTATCAGGTGCAGTCCAGATGTGGCCAACTGGTTTGGATACTGTTCCCTACCAAATTAAAGCCTTTGTCAGGTTTAATATATATCTATTATTTACGAAATGTTATACTGGAATCAGATATATAAATATAGTCCAGGGAATTGGTTTATTATTCATGAATGTTTCTATCTGTTCTAAATCATCCGATGTCAACAAATCCTAAACGTACATGTATTAGGTGTCCTGTAGCTTACACACGTTCATTCATGTAAGCTATTTCCAGCTATATCAGGTTAAAATCCAGGTATGTCAGCTGTCCTAGTACACAATTTCTATCTGTTTCAGTACTTAGATTCTTAGATATCTATCCAAACCCTTTTTTCCAGAATGTATACAAGCACTATACTGCTGCATGTGACACTGTCCTCCAATTTCACATGAAATAAACAAGATCTACCTGTCCAGGTATAAAGTCTAAAATTAGCCAAGTAAACAATACTGTACACCTAATACATAATCCAAGTGTACATGTATCTTGTCCAAAATTATTCCAGGGTAATATTCTACTAGCGTGAAAACTTAATGATGCATCATTTTTGATTTTGTCGATACGAAATCCATGGAAACAGCGTGTGTGCAAATCCAGGAATTTCACGATTTAAAATCCCTTTAGTGATCACAAGTCGGTACAGAATGACACTGATGGGATGAAAAATGTTCAAGCCCCGATCACTGCTACATGTACTTGGCGGATGAGTAGCTCAATAAAAATTATCGAGTTCCTGATATTTCTAATGTTTACCTAAACAGCCACCCTCTACACTGTGTCCCTAGTATAAATAGCTGGACACATCAGGCGTCGGGACCTAAGTACACAACTGTTCCTTTTCAAACAAAATCATTCACCTGGAAATATGTCAATGAAGTAACGACCCAGCTCGCAGAAAATATTATCTGGTTTATTATTTTACACCTGAATGTATTTTAAGTTAAATATACACGAATTTGAATATGGATTCAAGTGTTGATGTTAAGTATATTTAGATATTTATAGGTATAAAAGCATCAAATCAATTTGAACTAAAAGTTTGTCCCACAGACTGTTGATGAAGCTAACTAGACTTTGAGAGGTATATTCTGACTGCAGCTATAATGTGAATAATTGATTATTGAAGATTCAGTTTCTCTATTGGCAGTCAATAAAAATCATAATATTAATACACTCTATATTGTGTCCATACAAAAAACGTGAAATCTGAGTAAAGAACAAAACTGTCCGATATTAATTTCAGTTCATATAGCTGTAATGTTACAAAACATTTTTATTTATGAAATGTATAGTCAGCTTGTCCAGGTAAAACTGGAATATTTTTATCATATATGATCATTGTTTTATTTTAATAAGAATAACAAGGTTCACTATAACTCTGACTTCACCCCTACAGTTAAATATTTCAAAAACAAAATTGGTAGCATTTAATGGAAAACTTTAAAATATTTAAACTTCAAGCAGAAATCTTTTAATTTTAAATTACATGCAATACATTCAATTGCGCTGGAGATGCAATAAAAAAAACTGCTACAAATACAATTTTTTTAATATAGAAACTGCCTTATGTAGCTGAAGTTCACAGTGTTAAAAGTGTGTAGCAGGTAATAATTAAATCACAAATACGAAAATAAATCCTTATTCTTCAATTGTCTTGAGTACTTAAGGATGCCTGTCCCACTGCAGGCAAAACACTAGAGAGTTCCACTGTAGCGTGTAATCACACATGTACAGTAACCTCCCCTTAATTTCATTTCAGTTAAAAATGTTAACAAGCCATTCAAATTGATACAGTATGTCTCCCCTTTGCAAGTTTGGCTGGTCTAGCAGTTACAGTTTCAGATAAACTAACTTAAATGCAAAAATTTTATGTTGATGGAGATGCAAAGTCAATGGACCATGAAAGGTAGGCCGCATCCAGGATTTGATGCATGGGTTGAGATATACTTTCAGTGAAACTAACTTAAAGGCAAATACTTGATGTTGAATTCGAGGCTGACGTCGCTGGAAAAGTCTCCTATACTTCGTGGCGACGAGACAAAATGTCAGACAAATTCAGGGAATTATCATTGGTCTGTAAGGCAGGTCAGTTAGTTAGAGCCACCATGTTGTTAGCCATAAGGCCCAGGGTTCGAATCCTGGTCTTGTCTTGTATTTTTACTCTCATAATACTGTTGCTATTATCCTTTTTCTTTATTTCTTTTTTTTATTTTTTTTTACAGAAAATATCCCCATGATACGGATTTCTTTTCAGGAGCAATTTATAAAAGCTACTGCTATGCAGTGTAAAACTTTTCTAATTCAAAGTAACAGTTCTAGGCCAGGGTAGGGGATCCTTACACAGACATTATTCTCTAGTGTTATGACTGCAGTGGTGTAGCTATAGGCATTCTTATAAAATTGATTAACTTGTTTCGACAGATAATAATTCAAGATTATATGCCACCTTACAGTGTTATTTACCTCTATCCAAAAGAGTTCCACTCTAAGAAGTCTAAGACCCCTGTCCCACTGCACAGTATTCCTCAAGGACCCCTGTCCCACTGCACAGTATTCCTTAAAGACCCCTGTCCCACTGCACAGTATTCCTCAAGGACCCCTGTTCCACTGCACAGTATTCCTTAAGGACCCCGGTCCCACTGCACAGTAGTTTTGCGTATAAACAGCTGCAACCTCCCCTTCATTTTGTTTTAGATAGAATGGTAGTGAGTTTGGGCCAGCTAGGGTTCCAATCCTGGTTTATCGCCGCTGAAATTTACACTCAGATCATTGTTAGTAATTATATTTTGTTAATTGCACCTTTACTACTTTTTCAAGTCCTGAACGAGGTATATGGTTTTCTTTTCAGAAATGATTAATCAAAGCAGTAGTCATGCCAAAAATATGTGCTAGTTACAGTTTTTGTCAGTGTTACGGGAATATCCTTAATTGTAAAATCTACATTTTAAAGTGGTTAACCCTTTCACCACTGTAGACCATAATGGACTCATCCAGATCAATACATGGTAGAGTCTACTAAAGTTACATAGGGGGGAAAGGGTTAAGGACCCTTGACTGCACTCAGTTACACTTGCAAAAAAGAATTCTACTTCTGCGCTTTTTTTTCTTCCAATTCTCTTTTGGATATGAAAAATAAAGCAACCTTAGTTAAGTTATCCACCTTGGAAAGACTTGCCATTTTTCATTTGTTTTTTTACTTAAACAGTGACTATAATTCCCATTGAAAAGTATTCATCGTTCATTCTGCGATCTTATCTTTCTGTTCTCATTTGCTAATCGACAATGATCCATGTTTTACTAAAAGGATTCTTTTTTTATGATTTGATGTTGGAACTGTTGATGAATTATGATATTTGAAGTTTATGATAAAGTAATGCTTCATGCAAAACAATGCGAAAATAAATGTCAGTGGTATATATATATGTGGAAAATATTACACATCAGATTGTACATTTATTGCACATGAAATGAAACCTGATTTCTTTAGTCATATTTCCATGTTCAGTTTCATTTCAGAAAGAATCAATTTCTGTCAATGAGTTACTCGCTTACAAGGCCGACATCAGATCTGTGTAGGAACTAGCCTCGCCACAATGGCGCTGTACGTGATATTGGTTAAAAGCATTTATTTTGAAAATACGTAACTGTACATGCCATCAACATTTTGTTAAAATCAGTAAACAAATGATAAGAATTCTACAGTAATACAGTTAAGTTTGAAATTACTCAAGCCTGCAAAACACAATAGATTCTTTCATTTCCCTTTGTGTAAGATAGAGCCGTCCAGGGTAAATAAGGGGTGTAGAAAATTTCTATCCTACACCCCATTTCACGGGACGTGACGTGACAATGGCTCAACAATGACGTGACATCACAAATTTGGAAATCTCCGATGCCGCAATGTGGAAAAGGCGTTGTGATAAAATTAAAAGCTATTATGATGTATTTACTGTACACGTTAGAAATAAGTGATTATACTTTTGGTTTGCAAATATGGGGTATATGCTAAATCTGGCTGACAAAATTGTTTTCTTCTAAAACGCTGAGAGGGGAATTTGATATTTTTCAAAATGGTAGCCAGTCCAAAAGCATTTTCATGGTTTCTGGGCTTATTCTGGCGGTTGCAATGAGAGAGAAAATACTTTTTCGTGCCAAAGGGTGCATGTAGAATAGGGAAAATCTACCCTCAGGATTTTCAAATTTCAAAACTCCACCTTGGTAAAACACAAGGCTTTGCAAAGGGTTTTACCAAATTTGAAAAAAACCCAGGTGGAATTTCCCTATCCTACACCCCTGGACATGAAAGAGTCTTATAATCTTTAGTTTTTTACCATTTGATACCCATGCAAAAAATCAACAGATTCGTCCCCCTGTCAACTACGCGTATAACTTACCACTTCCACCTTCTCTTAATTATATCCGCTCCAAACGGAGACTAACTAACTTCACACCTCTACCTGTTGTTGTGCAATAACTGTGTTTTACAAACCCATCTAACAAACCACATGTTCCGATAATTAGATTAGACCGCATTTATGCAGTCCTATATATATAGTTCTATTAATCCTGCGATATTCTACACTGTGCAAAAATTGAGATTTTACTCCGGGGTATTCCCTCATGTAATCCTGGCTATACGAAAGCAATCAAACAATTCAAGATTTCTGTGTCTTCAGATTAAGCTTGCTTTTTTTCGCATCCTGTTTATAAATCATTAAATACCAACAGTGGTGATGTCTCGGTCCAAAGATTGCCTTTAAACGTTTGATGTTTGTCGTGTTAAGAGACATTCAATTTAAGACTCAATCTTCTAATTGTGTTCAGGGGGTACTTGAGAGGTCCAAGGAGGATCCAATGAGGTAATTTGTTGACATTCAAAATTGTTTTGTATATGCAAATCCTACATTTCAACTGGAGTGCAAAGCTGTAAAATGCGTGGTTGTTCCCGTTAAAATCCATTTCTATTCAAAAGAGCAATTTGGAGAAATTGACCCTGAATAATACTCTGATAAAATTTTGAAAAAATATTTCTAACACAAAATCAGTAAATTGTACTGTGAACAATTAATAAGAGTTAGGTTTGAATTGTTTCAGAAATAACTGCCTTGGCACGTTCGCAGCATAATTGCTGAATCAATTAGAGTCTTGAATTAAGGACCAAATGTTTTTGTTCTACGTGTCAAGAAACCATTTTTATACTTGTATTAAAAGCCAATCTGATTCTATTAAAAGCATGCTTAATTATTCTGAGAAAACACTTGTAACCTAAAATCTGTTAAATCTGACACCCTGTACGACACAATATATTGATTAGATTAACCTGTCTAACCTGACACCCTGTATGCTGCAATGTATTGATTAGATTAACCTGTCTAATCTGACACCCTGTACAACACAGTATATTGATTATATTAACCTGTCTAATATGACACCATGTGTGACACACTATATTGATTATATTAACCTGTCTAATCTGACACCCTGTGGGACAACATATTAGTTAAATTGACCTGTCTAATCTGACACCCTGTACGACACAATATATTAATTATATTGACCTGTCTAATCTGACACCCTGTACGACACAATATATTAATTATATTAACCTGTCTAATATGACACCCTGTATGACACAATATATTAATTGAATAAATCTGTCAAATCTGACATCATGTGGTACACAATTTATTGGTAAGGTAAACCTGTCTAATCTGACACCCTGTGGTACACAATTTATTAGTCAGGTAAACCTGTCTATAAGCTTACACCCTGCGGTATACAACTTATTGGTCAGGTAAAACTGTCTAATATGACACTCTGTTG